CTTGTCACATCTAATTCAATATCACGTACAATGAGCTTCATATCAAATCCCGTCTTGACTGGTCCTTCACGCGTCGTCTGGTTCATCGAAACTGTATTCTTTGTGTTTGTTAGCTATGTCTTGGCCTATTATATACCTCAGGTAAGTTTTGGACACTTTTAAAAGTACTTTTTTAAAGAGAAGTTTATCTATCAAAATTTACAAAGGGCGAAGTCCATCTCCACATCCATGGAAACCAGAGGAGGACACTTACATCGGCCCACAATGCTTTGCGCGCTAGGCGTTATCAAATGAGAGGCCCATAATGCATCGCGTTTGATCGAGTGAAAATTTAAACTATATGTCGAAAATAAGGAAGATGGCAACTGATTTTCCTCCGTCGATCGTGTCTACATTACTTTTTTACCTGTACTTTTATTAGTAATTCTTATTTAATTCCGAATGCCTCCTACAGAGAAGATTGCCGAATTGAGGAAATGTTAACTGTTTCTTGCGAACTTCATACTGAATTAAAATTTTCCCGCTTTTTTTTGCTAGTTTCGGTTGATGCATGTTTGTGCAGTTTTTCGGCCAATAGTGTTACAAATGGAAAATGTCTCATGAAATTACTAAAGAGATGAGGAATATCAAATGAAAAACACCAGATTTTTCCTTATTTGACAATAAACACGTCCACCCAATAAACAGACCACACGCGACCCTACCTTAATCGACTGTCGGTAGATTTAAAGCTAAGTATGGCCAAAGGGCGAATATCCACGCTGGAGCCACTAGTAGTATACACCATTGTTACTTGATTAAACAAATTACCTGAGCGCAAACATATTGTACCACAAAAATGAATATTTTGCTGGAGTGATTGAGGAATSAACACGATTCKATATGCTTATCGCAATGAGCTATGGTTTCTTTACTTGACTCACGATGATATTTCTTGATTCCAGGTTGCAATGGTTTGGGGATTCGTAGGCGCAATTGGTACGACATTRACAATATTCATCCTACCTCCTGCATTTTACCTTCGWGTAAGATTACATCCGGCACGACCAGACCTCAAACAGATAGCGGCCTGGTGCCTAATGATAGTGGGTGTTATACTTTTAATAGTGTGCACATATCAGTCTATAATGAACGTTATACAACCTATCACCAAGGCAACACCACCTGCAAAAACTCATCATCATCATCATCATAATGCTACCTATAACTTACTGGACAATAGTACAGATATTTCTGCGTTATTTTAATATTACCCTATGGTATTTTAACTTTTTATTTCAATATTTTATTATATTTTTTTAAAATTTTTAACTTAAGAAATGTTGTTGGGTTGAAAAGGTTACGTCATCCAAGGTAAGACCGAAAGGCAGCATGGGTAACGTCGAACCAAAAAGGAAATGAATGGTACCGAATGGCAGCATGGGAAGACTTATACGCATTGTATCTTCTTATAGAGATTTGGCTTGTGTTTCCCTCCGGTTTTAGCTTCGATGGTGTAACCTTGAACAAACCCGACAACTTTTTTAATCAAATGTATCCTTAGCTTAAAAAGACTGAAGAGTAATWAGAAAATTATTTACCTTTTAACACGGCCACTCTGGCTTTTTTCAYAAGAATTTTCAGTATAGATTGCAACAGTTGAAAAATCACTGTCAGCAATATTTTATTTCACGATCTACACTCTGAGGTTTTACAACTAGAGTGCAAACAATATCATGAAAACTTCAGAAATTAAATAGTGCTAGATTACTAAATTATACGAATTCCTTTGTTTTCTATTGTCTAATCTACACTATATTAAGCTATTTAGCACTATTTGGTTATTATTTTTTCTCACGCTTTTAGTTTTGTAGATTTTAGATGTGTAGATTTTTAGAGGGTATTTTACAACCTTTTCAAGATCAGCTATATAGGAATATCAATTATAAAGTATATTATTATCATCATTAGTATTATTATTATTTTATTATATTATTATTATTATTAAATCTATATTAGCGCATAATTATGTAGAGTTGTTCTCACAAACCCGTGAAATACATTGGTCCCTCTATTATTCGACCACCCATCGGTCAGTCTTTGTTACGCGACCTCAATCTTCCTCTACTCAAGCTCTATTTCAGCGGATAGCCTCTATTAACCCGACCAATTCCGACTGCTTAATAGATCAGAGTTCTATTTAACTCTTTTACCTCTTTCTTCCTTTTTATTTTGTATCAGTGACAACTTCCACAAATGTGGTTATTTAATTTAACTTCGATATTTATTCATTTTAATAAATGTGTTTAATCAAGGGCTGTGAATCATGAAATAAATTTTTAATGAGTGTTTTGATTCACGGGTTTGAGAAGACGTCTATATTATAATTGTATTTATTAAATATTATCTGTGGTTTCCACATGTGGTTCTTATTGGTGATATCCRCATACTTTCGTTTTCACCAAATTGAAAAACGTTGTAAGGTTAAAGAAAGGTGAAATTATCGAAGCTATTATAAGGCAAAAAGAGCATATTGTAAGATTAAAACTTCAAAACTCGAGACGCAACACTGAAATGCAGAAATATTTTACCATTATTTAATCAGCAATTATTGTTTCAGGCGTCATAGGCACTTTAAACGCACACAATGGTTTTACCAATTWTTTTCCCATGCTCCATCTCGGTCGTAGCTTCGATGATGTAACCTTTTTGAACCTTACAACGTCTTTTAATTGGGTGTAAAAATATTCTAACAATAGCGATCTGGTCTAGAAGTATCATAGGTAACCCAGGCTCAATAACTTAGTATAAAATATGTCGTTCGCACAATTTTTTTTTTTTTGCCTAAATAATATTATTCCGCCACATAAATAAAACGTCTCTTACCTTCCTGGTTGAAAATCTTTCGTTTTAAGAGGTTTTATGCCATTTTCGATATGCCATTGTTTAACCTACTKAYATTAATACAAGGTCGGAAACTGCACGCAAAGATTTCCAACAGTAACTCTACTTGCACTCGATTTTTTTGTCAAAATCCATACTTTTGTCCACATTTAACTTCTCCACAATAAACATGAATGTCCAAGGATTCTTTTGAAGCTCTTCGTCAATGAATTGCTTTTCGGGAAGTTATTTTTATCGGCCGTTGAATTCTAATATTCGGACTAAAGTAATGCTGACTATAACTTATTTGGTCCGGAGGAACAGGGGTCCCAAAAGAAGAGAGTATTCTCAAATTGGATTGGCTGATTTCTAACAAAAGGCAATAAACACTTTAAATCTACGGGGGACATTGCTCAACAATTGCGAGACGAGGCGGGGGAGGGTATAATCGAAAGCAACCAATAGRAAGTCAGCCGCTCTCGCAAGGAAAACTTGCTCTACTTAATTTAAAGCCATAATAAAACACAAGAACAAAAGAATTAGCATAAAACTGCTTAAAAATAGTATAACGACCTTTTTACGTATGTAGTAAGCATTATTAATAGGACATCATTCTAGTTTAGAAATTCTAGTACAGTTGTAATGTAGTATTTTACTTGGTATTTTCAACAATAACACAGTGAAGCACTGATTATTGCATTATGTAAAATTGAATGAAGCTCTAGTTGAGCAAGAGAAAACAAAAGAATTAGCATAAGACTGCTTAAAGATAGCATAACGACCTTTTTACGTATGTAGTGTTTTATGCGGCTGACGTCCTATTGGTTGCTTTCGATTATACCCTCCCCCGCCGTGCCGCCGCCCCTGAAAAGAATTTCGGATTACCCGTGCTCTTACGAAACGAGCTAGGACTGGCACTAGAATCACATTTTGGCGCGAAAAAAAAACAAAAAACAAAATGGCGCGGATTCCTTGTTGATCTTGACAAACGATCTTTCTAAACCTCGTCAACTTTACACTAAAACAATGGAAAGTTATGAAGAAAGCGACGACGAAATTGAAGTCACAGCAGCAGAGGTTTTGCAAAAGCTGGAGGAGGTAATAAAGGTTTWTTGTGTCTTCGTGTTTTTGAATGGTATGAAATCTTCGATTGTTGATATCTTATTAGGCTTGGAACAATGAGAAGTTTGCACCTGAACTACTTGAGAATAAATCTGAACTTGTAGAATGTATGGTAGACCAAATTAAATCAATGGTAAGCCTGGAATTACAAAATCTGGACACGAATGAAAGTTTTTTTTTTGCGTGCCTTTTTCTTCAATTTATTCAATTTAGTTTAAGCTTATATATTTTATATATATAAGCTTATAATAATAATTTACACATGAGTTAATTACACATTGTAAGGGGGGGAGGGGGGCAGTAAGCCTATGACATCATAGAAAATTGTTTTATTTTGACCTATTTTAAACTCTTTTTCGATGAAATGGTGGTTTGAAGTAATATTATCTAAATAATTATTACTAAATGTATTGCCCAGGGAAAAAAAGATCACAAAAAAGTCGATTTATCATTTAGTTCTCTGAGACAATCACAATTCCTTACACACTTTTTTTATAGGAAAAAAGCTTACTAAATATAAAAAAGGGAGATATTGCTGGAACTCTGCATAAATTGGAGGTAAGTATTGATAACAGCGCCATTCTTTCATAATAGCTGGGGTCTGGTTGAGTGCCAACTATGTGATAAGATAGGGCCTGCCCCGAAGGGCTACTATCAGTGTGTATAGCGCCTGATGTTTAAGAAAATTTTAATGTTCAAAGATAAATAAAGTAGATCAGCTGAAATCTTGGGCATTTTAGTGTGATAGTTGCCTTTAGAAACCAGATCTTCTTCCAGACTACATAGTTACCCTCAATGCAAACTGCTTTCTTAGGGGACTGTTTATTTTTCCAAACATCGAGTGTGGGCAACTATGTCCTTGATTTAACAACTCTATTGTTCAGTTACAGCTCTTAAAGAATGGACATTAAATACATGTATGATACTGTAGTATTAATTTAATTATTATCTCTAGTGATATAATTATTTTCTTTAATTAATATCTCAGATTGACAGAATACGGTTTGTGTTAAGTAGCTACTTACGGACACGGCTTCATAAG